GAAAGACTAAAAAGTTATTCTATTAAAGAAGACTGCTTTGCAAAAGGAAAAATCAAATAAATAAATTCTTGGAAGTAAAATTTTTATCTTTAAAATAGAAAATCCAAATAATAAAATATGGTATCTTAGTCCATTTGGGCTGCTATAACAAAATAACTTAGTCTGGGTAATTCATAAAAAAAAGAAATTTATTGCTCACTGCTCTGGAGGCTGAGAAGTTGAAGATCAAGGCCAGCAGATTCAGTGTCTACTGAGGAGCTGTTCCTCATGGATGGTGCCTTCTATATCTTTACATGATAGAAGAGGCAGGAGGCTCCCTCAGCCCTTTGTATTATAAGGGCACTAATCCCACTCATGAGGGTAGAGCCCTCAGGACTTAATCACCTCCTAAAGATCCTACCTCTTAATACTATCATATTGGGTATTAGGTTCCACCATATTAATTTTGGGGGGACACCAACATTCAGACCACAGCATAATGCAAACAGAAAAAATCGACTTATTGATGGGAAAAAAAATAAGAAGACTATTACGGAGATAGAACCAAAAGATAAAATGATGGAAAACATGAGAAAAAAGAGATAAGGCAGCCAAATCCAAAAGGTCCAACATCTAATAGAGTGCCAAAAAAAAGAACACAGACAATGAATAAAAAATATAAAAGAACATTTTCTGAATCAAAAGAAAAATCTTATGTTTTGAGACTGGAAAGACCCACCAAAGGTTGAAAAGGATGAATTTTTACTAGTTTGTCAGCTGGCCAGTATGGGGATCCGAGAGAAGGACAAATTTTTAAAAGACCCAACTAAACAGAACATGTTTATATCTCACAATATCATATACAAAGAGAAAATCCTAAAAGCTTCAAGCAAGTCTTTAGAAAGAAACAAGAATCACACTGGCCTTGGGGTCCTTGGTAGCACTACTGTATGCTTTTAGAAGATCACAGAGCTATACTTTCCAACATCTGAGGGAAATTACATGGAAATAAAATTTTACATTCAGCTATAGAATCAACCAAGCATTAGGGCAAAAGAAAGACATTTTCAGGCTTGCAAGGAGTCAGAAAATGTACCACCTGTTCATACTTTCCAAGAAAAAAATACTTGATAAAATAATCCAATGAAAAGGAAAAGGAAGATGTAAGATCCTAGAAACTGTGGAACTAGATCAGGAGCACAATGAAAAGAAAATCTAGGATGAGAGCTGTGAGTAGGTTTAGAAAGCAATTGATCCAAATCCACAAGATAAGCCAAAGAGCAAAGGAAGAATGTCTTCATCCCATTATACAAATGTCTGACAAAGAACACAGACATTCTCTAAGATAGGAAAAAGTAAAAGGGACAATTAGAAAGTCCAGGGGGGAAATGTTGTCTAGAAAGACTAAGGTTTAAATATTAAGCAGACCTAAATAGAACATAATTTGAGTAATTAGTGGACTATACAGAAAGATAACCTCTTTGACTTTAGTATCTAGACTATTCTTTTTTGACAGATACAATTTGAATGGCATATCACTTGTCAGTGGGTCCAAACACACGACATCATTCTCTAGAAAATAAATATTTACATAATTATAAAATTGTAAGTGTCACTTATAGGTTTCCAATTTCAAAAGTCAACTAAAAATCCAAGGTATCTCATACTGGGATCTATGGACTACAACATCAGAATTACCTGATAAAAGGCCAGCCAATTAGCTCATTTGGATAGAGTGTGGTGTAACACTAAGGTCAAGGGTTCAGATCCCCATACTGGCCAGCAAAAAAAAAAAATTTTAAAAAAAGGAACTACCTGGAAAGTTTATTTTAAAATGACTCCTGGACTCCACCTCTAGAGATTCAGTAGATCAGGTGAAAGTCCCAGAAATCTACATATTAGGTCAGTGGGTCCAAACACACGACATCATTCTCTAGAAAATAAATATTTACATAATTATAAAATTGTAAGTGTCACTTATATGTTTCCAATTTCAAAAGTCAACTAAAAATCCAAGGTATCTCATACTGGGATCTATGGACTACAACATCAGAATTACCTGATAAAAGGCCAGCCAATTAGCTCATTTGGATAGAGTGTGGTGTAACACTAAGGTCAAGGGTTCAGATCCCCATACCGGCCAGCAAAAAAAAAAATTTTAAAAAAAGGAACTACCTGGAAAGTTTATTTTAAAATGACACCTGGACTCCACCTCTAGAGATTCAGTAGATCAGGTGAAAGTCCCAGAAATCTACATATTAGTAAATTCTCCAAGTATATCATGTGCACACTAAATTTTAAGAATCATAGCTATAAAGCAGTAATCTCTAAAATTTCTCATTACACATCAGCAAAAGTCATTTGAGTACCCACCTCCAATATATGTACATTTATTTCTAAATAAATATTAATAATATATATTCTGGGGCCGGCCCGGTGGTGTACTCGGTTGAGTGCGGCGCTTGGGAGCGCAGCGGCGCTCCCGCCGAGGGTTCAGATCCCATATAGAGACCGGTCCGCTCACTGGCTGAGGGCGGTGCGGGCGTGACACCGAGGGTTGTGATCCCGTTACTGGTCACGAAAAAAGACAAAAAGGAAAAAAAAAATAATAATAATAATATATATTCTATATATTCTATATATATTATACTTTTATATAATTATATTATATATTATATAAATATATTATGTACATTATAAATATAAAAAATAGAAACTGTAAAGGTTGAGGGAAAAATAGAAACTGTAAAGGTTGAGGGAAATAACCTAACAATATTTTAATACTTGTTTCTGCTTAACCAAGACGAAAGTAAAAATCAAGGATACGTTTAGAAAGTTGAAAAAAATTAGCAGATAAAAGGAGAAGATACAGAATCACAAAAATGACAAAGCCCCGGGCCGGCCCGG